ATCTTTCTCTCCTTTCTCTCTCTCCCTAGCTTATAGCGTTGCTCTCCTTAACCCTGCGTTCATATCTGAAACTCCTGTGCTTACAATACGACGGCAATCAACAAGCAAAGAGGTTTCACGATGAATATATTTGGGGGCCCCTGCGGGGGCCCCTGCTGCGGGGGCCCCTGCTGCGGGGGCCCCAGCTGCGGGGGCCCCTGCTGCGGGGGCCCCAGCGGGGGCCCCCTGTGGGGCTGTTTGTACTGCTTTCGCTTTGGCTGCAGCTTTACATATTTCTTCACATATACGTTGACATGCATCTAATTCACGTTTTAAGTATAGAATTTGTGTTTTTTCTTTTTGTAATTTATCTATTTGTTGTTGTTTTATTTTTATTTCTGTTTCTAGTGGCCTCAATCTGTGTAGTTCTTCTTCTAGCTCTCTTACTGTTCTTTCTGTTGTTCTCAATCGTACAAGTTTAGGTTGTATATTTCTTAGTTCATTACTTAACCCTGCTACTTCTTGTTCTTTTTTTCTTAGTTTTATTGCAGCTTCTCTAAGTTGAATTTGTGTATTTCTTAACTCTGTATCTATCCTTTGCCAATTCAACTCTTCTACTCTCAGCATAGCTACTTCACGCCTCAGCTGTGTAACTTCATCCTGAGCGAGTGTTAGTTGTTTACTTAATTCTTTTTGACTTTTTTTTAATGTAGCTTTCTCTTTATGCCATGCAATAGCAAGTTCTCTGAACTTATTCAATTCATATGTTACCTCATCACGTAGCTGCATTATCATATTTCTTTCTTTGCTTACTACAGGTTGTTGTATTATAACATCTGCAATAATTCTCTCATCAACAGCTTTCTTTTCTGGGGGTTCTGGTGGTGTTGGTGGTGTTGGGGTCCAGGTGTATATAGGCAATGGTTGTTGCTGTGTAGATGGTGTTTCATATAACCCATATAAAAAACCTCTCGATAGATCTTGTTGTGTGTATTCTTCGTTAACCTGCGGGTTCTTTTCATTATAATTATTTTGTTTATTTTCATTTCTTTCTTGTTCTGTTCTGAGACCGCCAATGAGGCCCAAGTAATTCGTCAACGCCATCTTTTTTTTTTTTTTTTTTAATTTGTATTAAACCACGCCAAAAGAGAAAAAGATATTAAAAAGAAATATCTTAATCTGAAAACCTTCACAATAAAGAAAAATAAGGTCAATGTAAGACCTAAAGAAGAATAACACCGTTTGCGGTGTTCGCTGTGCTGTACAGAAACAAACACACACACAAGACCACAGCAACGTCTCTCTAGAGCTGCACACGCAACGAAACTATCTTTATCCTCCCGTCAAATATATTTATATATTCAAAGCCAGTAGAAACAAAGAAGAACAAAAAGCACAAAAACTCTAATTAATATATTTTATCTGCACGGAGAGCACGTGTGTCCTGTGCTCACCCCACCTTGCAAACCTGCGGAGCTAACAAGCCCCTGTTGCCGGGATCTGCTCAGTATGATGAAGATCCTTTTTATATTTAATACCTGGTAGTAGGACTTGATAAAGAATGAAAGACATAAGGAGAAGGCAGAAAAAAATCTCCATACAATGATGTCTATTCAGGTCCTATATCCACTGCGGCCTGTTGTTTATTAGCAGCTGACTAGACACTGCACTGCGCCAGAATTTCGAGTTCTGTACAAAATATATACCGCTAATTTCAATAAGCGTTTCACAATTCTTAAAAACAAAGAAACCAAACTCAAAAAGATTCATAAAACAAAACTTATGCCCCCCCACTCTACCCATGTATATCCCCACAAGCTGTCTTGAGCTCATGCGGGACCTCTCCGGCCCCCATACGGCGTCAGCGGTTCGTTGTTTCCGTGCAAGAAAACAACACTGGCGAGTTGATCATATAATACTTGTTTTTAAAGTTTCATTTATACTTTATTTCAGATTCTCCTCGATAGTTTCTGAATACGTCTAGAACACGCAAACGAGACAGTGCATAAGGCCACCACTCCTAGGTGTTCATGCAAATTGCACGATTCAACGGGATTCAATGTGTTCTATTAAGTAAAAAGTTTAATTTTATTAAATTTATAAACACTAGCTTAGTAAATGAAAAAGGATTCAAAGCCGTAGCTGTATACACACAAACGAAGTTAACGTGGCAATCCCGCAGCGGAACTGACGAGGGATCATCGCTCTCTTACGAGTCTTCTACATTATAATAGGGTTTTTATGAACTTGCAAAGTGTAAAACTATTTTTTTTTAGATATAAAAACTAAAAAATACGCCTGATTTCTGTCGTGTCTACTACAGGCATCACGGGTACCGCAGCGCCGATGCACGGGCTGGTGTGCTGCGGAGGTGGGTGTTATGGGTTGCTGTTCATGTTGCTGCTGCTGTTGTTCAGGTGTATATAGCTTCACACTTTGTTGTTATTTTCTTTTTTTTTATTTTCAGATCGTGAATACTATTCTACAGAGTTGTGAAACCAAGAAAGCTGCACTGGTAACCCTACACGGGTCAACCTGAATCCTGCTGAAGCCTTGTTACTGGAAAGCAATAAGTAGAGGCGGAGTAGGGTTTAGGGTTTAGGGTTTAGGGTTTAGGGTTTAGGGTTTGAGGATCTTTGTAACGCGAACTATATAGGATCGTCAAGCCTCGTATATATATATATATGTATATATATATATATATATATATATATATATAATTTCCTAGAGAGGAATAGAGGTTTAATTTTCTTGAGTTGCTGGTATTCTAAACCAGCTGAATCGTAATACTTAACTTTGTAATAGAGAATGGATCGGTGGCATGAAAGAAGAGAAATCAGAGGTAACATGGAAGTAAACTCAATAAAATTAATCCTTTATGCATATCTAGGTTGCTAGCTCTCTGCTGCCATCTGTGTGATGCACAGAAGCTGGCGTTTGCTTTTTTCTATTCTATGCGGCGGTTGCTACGCTTAGCTGTGAACGTTGTATAGTGTCTGTATACTCGACGACAGAGGTTACCCCTGAAGGGCCTGCATGGTTTTTTGAATACGAAGGCGGGAAGATGCTGTCGCCTGTGTATGCATACGTAACTTGAATGCAAAGTAAAGCTAAAAAAGAAAAAAATATTCTTACTGCTGCTTGTGACTGAAGGCCAGCTGTTTCCTCTTTCAATCTAGCAATAGCCATGCTCTTCGCTTCTAGCTCTTGACGCAGAGCCGCTCCCTGCAGCGACAGCTCAGTAGCTTTGTTCCGCTGCACCTGTACAGGTTGTGGAGAAGTTCAATACCGGCGGTGGGCGCGGGAAAGCTACACACCTGTAAGCTTCAAGCATACTACAGTGACTATACTTACCTCTTCTGTTTTGTCATGTTTAAGATCCAACATTAAATGCTCGCATTCCGCAATGAGTTCTAATCTAAAGGCGGGGATGGCGTAACGGGGTATTCACAGTTTGTGCTTGTTGTTTATATTCTCGGGCTTGCCTGCGTTTCGCTGACACAGCTTCAATGTTTTGCATTTCTTGTTTCTGAATGGTGATCTCACGCCTCAAAGCTTCTACTTCAGATTCTAGTGTACTTCGTTCTGCTGCGCTTTCTATGTTGTTCTGCGCTTTCTCAAAGATAGCTTTCTCTGCTGCATGACGGTCTGCTTGAAGGCTGACAACTTCAGAACATATGCATCGATAGCTTTTCTCTAGAGATTCAGCTTCTTTTCGCAAAGTTCCCAGCTCCTCCAGCTTAGAGCTAGTGCTGTTCCTCAGGAGTTGCAGTTGAAGTAAGGATGATCGTGAATGATGAATTTCTCGGTTGATGCCATCGCCCATCATGAAAAGTGTATCAATGCACCTAGAAAAGTATATTGATTCTAGAAAATGTCTAAATCATGTGGTCAGCGAGCATTTATTCCCACTTGTTTCATGGGTTCCTGAAGGATCTGTGAAATTTCAACAAACTGCGTATACACTGCGTGCGGGCTTTGGCGCACAACGGTTACCGTCCGCTCCCCTAAACAAAAGTTGCATTTTAAGGCTGCATGAAAGAGCATATGTTTTGTATTATATAAATAGATTAGCTGTTCACTCAGCTCTACAGTATTGCAAATCTGGTGGTAAGCTGCCTTCGGCCCCCTGCGGTTGTCGGGCGATAAATTGTATCCGCCGTGATTTTCACGTGCACAAGCAAACCCAATATGCAAAATTGCTTTTTGTAGTTTAGCTTATCATGGGAAAAACTAAATTCACCCTTAACGAACGACACAGCTTGCGTCTTGTCTATGGCTTTGGCACTGTGAACGCGCAGCGGATACATGCCTGCCTTTTACAGTTACGCAAATATCCTGGAATATATAACCATAGATATGTTGGATCTTTAGACATTTATAGTAAATGCTACTTTTTGAGCATGAAGAGGCTGCCATAGAGGAAATTCAGTAAAGGCCGCCGTCTGGGTTTCGGTGAATCTGCACCGGTGGTCATCTTCAATGGCCACGAGGCAATGTACACTGTAGAGAGCAGCTGGCCATGCCCTCGTTCGCTGTTAAGTTTTTTCTTATTCTGAAGTATTCATCACTGGCTCACTTTATTTAATCTCTGTTTGCCCCCCATCTTTGCCATCTTCAACCTGAGACGAGGACTGGGGGTAGCACCGCCCTGTGGAGGAGGAGCCCACGAGGCGCACACCAGCACAAAGGTGTATGGTGAGCATCCGTTTCCTGCGTCTTTTGCAGGTGTGCTGGTACCTTTAGTGCCAATGCACACGTACAGAAGGGATTGTTTCCTTTTGAGCTCAAACCTGGGGCTTCCCCCAAGAGACATCTCGAGGTCAACAGACTGACCGCCTGCCGGTTGGTTATATCCGGCGTGTGCTGGAGAGTGTGTCTAGACAGAAAGATTTCCATTTGTCTTCCTTGTTTTTTGCGTGTATCGGTTTTGTTTTGGGGGTAGAAGGGACGGCAGCTGACTTCGTCCTTCTCCCGACCTCAACCCCACCAGGCAAGGGCACGATACAGGTGCAGCGACGATGGGTTTCGCCGCACGATCTGTGTGGCTAGTGGTGTTAGTTTTAGCCCTGTTGCAAGAGGGGTTCATTGAAAAGGCCCCATGGGCTGCACTCGGTGACACTACTCTCCTCGGATCACTAACCGCAACAGCCACAGGCGTCACTCGTAGGGGCCGGTCTCGCAGCTACAGTGTTTCCTCGACATCTAGCACCAGCAGCACAGGCAGTTCAACAGATACAGACGATGAGAGTTCGACATCAGAAGGCAGCCAGAAGAAGAAGAAAAAGAGAAGATTCTCCTTGCCAGGCAAAGCTAAGCGCAGTAAATCAGGATCAACAGGTGACTCTAGCGCGGGTGAGGGGCCCAGCACCAGTGCTACTGAGGCTCCAGAGAGTGGAAAAGGAGGAAAAAAGAAGGGAATGAAAAAATTAAAGAGAGTCCTCTCAAGAAAGGGCTCGAAAAATGTGACAACCGCACCACCGGGTGGAGAAGGCAGCAGCGATGCAGAGGCAGCAATAGATGCAGCAGCAGCAGCAGGACAAGGAGACGGTGCTGCACAGAACACAGCTGCAGCACCAGGTAAAAAGCGAAGCCGCCGCAGCCTATTTAAAAAGAAAAAAGGAAAAGCGGAGAAGGCAGAGGATGCCCGAGAGGGGCCCCACCCCCGGCGGGGCAAGGGTCGTCTGCTTGCATTCAAGAAGTCGAAGAGCTCTTCAGTGTCAGGCGGGGATGCAAAGGGGGCCCCACAAACGAAAGCTGTGAATTCCAGGCTAATGACAGAACCCAAGTTCACCGCAGGCTCAAGCGTAAAGTACGAGGATGGATTCCCAAGGATCTTACCGAGGCCCCCACAGAAGGGTGGCACTACCCCGACAAACCCGCTAGCAGGCTGCATGCCCGTGCAGACAACACCAGGATTCGAGTCGTTTGCTAGTGGTCTACCGCATCAAGGCGTCGGCTGCCGTCTTCGTATGCAGGCTGGGCACCACCAGCCACCGCAGCGCCAGGAGGAACAGGAGCAGCAGCAACCCGAGCAGGTGGACACCCAGGTTCACCAGCAGCAGGAGGAACCGCAGGCTCACCAGCAACAGGAGGAACCGCAGGCTCAGCAGCAACAGGAGGAACCGCAGGCTCACCAGCAGCAAGTGGAAGCGCAGGTTCACCAGCCGCATCAGCTAGTGGTAGAGGCGCAGGTCCATCGCCAGCAGGAGGACGACGATCAGCAGTTGCCGCAGAAAGGAGAGCAGCATCAGCAAGAAGACGTGCAGCAACAGCAGGTGGACCAGGAGCAGCCGCAGCAGAAGCAGGAACAGCAAAAGGAACAGCAACAGCAGCCGCAGCCGCAGCAACAGCAGCAGGAGGATCGACAAGAGGAGCAGCAGCAACAGCAGCAGCAGCAGCAACAGCAACAGCAGCAGCAACAGCAGCAGCAGCAGCATCAGCAGGAGGGGAAGCAACAGTAGAATGTTGCCTCTCCACAATAAAACTGAGGAGTGGCACTTTATAGTATTCTGTTAATTCATACACTCCTCAACTCAACCTGAATTGCATGTTTTTTTATTTTTGGTTTTGCATCTGATTGCGTTCACACTCCTCAAGTGAACTCTAAATACATCTTTTAATTCATGTTTTTTGGTTTTGCGTCTAATTAAGAGCACAAGGGGCGAATTAAAACGTTGGTACTCTGGTAACAACCCACAGACAACCGCAGCCAGCTTAGCTATATATATATATATATATATATATATATATATATATATATATATATATATATATATATATATATATACATATATGAAGAGAGGCGTGGGCCGGTAAGGAAGGACAAAACGGCTTTATTAGTTGTTGTATGGGCGGTAGGATCACTGCCCCGCACTCTGAAACACCACTATCAACTCATCATAATTGAGTTAGTCAAACGTTACACAGACCGCCATATGGATTGCTCTGGCTAGCCAGCGCACAGGCAATCTGTTCTGTCGTGGCGGCACTGCAAAGTCAAGGGGAGAAAGAAGGGGATCATAGGCTGTCTGTTCAGCCCGAACCAGCTCGAGCCAGAGGTACCCTGCAACGCTTGCAGAGACCCCCGTTACACAGCTGGGGACCCCCAAAGACCCGACTTCGCCTCTGGTGGCTTCTCTGAGCCCAGTAGAACAAAAACTTTAGGCGCTCACTAAGGACACGCACCTGCAGCCTCCTGCGTGCACAGAGGAGGGAAGGCAAAAGGAGGCCTGCGAAGAGAAACTAAGGTGTAAGTGGCGACACCTCAGCACTTGCGCTGTGCTCATACACTAGGGCTTGTACATATATATATATATATATATATATATATATATATATATATATATATATATATATATATATATATATATATGCCTTGGTGTGTGGGCATAGATTATCATCAATCAAGTGCCTGTGGGCCTGCTCATCCCTCAGGGCGCTTCTTCAGCTTCATCAGCGCCTTCCTCCAAAAGGGCTCCCTACCGGGAACCTTGTTCAGCATTACTACAACTAGTAAAATACTGTTGCTGCTCTGCTGCTGCTTCAGCTTCAGTTTTACTCGCGCAATCAGTAGAGGGTTGCGTAGAGACCCAAGTCCGTCACCCAAGCGCCGCTGCGCTGCACAGTCGCCTCCTCCGAAAGCATCACCGGGAGTTCTTTCCGAACACCTGAAGCCGTAACGGTTTCGCAGGACAACTTAGACATACATAACCCACAAAACAGTACCCCGCTCCTGTAGCTGCTACTAGGCTTCTACGCATGTAAGTAACTACTGGCTGGCTAGCTATCACTCTCCGCTGCTGGCTCCCTGGGCTAAACACAATGGTAGCTGTCTCGGAAACGCACCCATGATGTCCACCTCCGCTGCAGAGACGACTGGCTCTGGGTACTGCGTGGGATGAATTTTGATGATCATTGCGCTGATGTTGTCGCCACTGCCCATTAAATATGCAGTGGTGATGAGCCGTGACGCAGTTTCCTCCAGGTTCTCATCAGTTGCCTGCACACAGATGCATCCCAGGTCATCCGTCTACTGTAGATCGAATAAAGCCTTTCAAAAGGACGTGAAGGAATATATTATATTTATTGTTATATGACGTGTCGTCTCTCTACTAAGAAGTAAACCTAGCACACCCAAACCAAACAACAGCATATCACTTGCCTTGAGCTGCATGGCCACGAAGTTCGCTACGAATTTCCATGTCATTCCTTGTGCCTCAAATACACCTGCAATTCAGAAACAAGAACACAATCAGCTAAACCGTAAACCACAACACCAAAAACTAAACCCTAAACCCCACTAGACCAATTTAAAAACTTCGTTTCTCAACTCGCCCCCAGCCTGTACTGCTACTCGGGAGGCCCCGCGCACCGTCGCAAGCGAATACTAAGATGTCGCCAGCCTTCACTTTGATAGACCTGGCATGCGGCAACGCCACCACCTTCTGCTGTGAGGGCAACAGGTCTGCCCTACCCTTCATTCTCTGCAGAGGAAAGACACATAGAAACAAGCACACACTAAGGAAACGCGGCAAGGATGTCGCTCCTGTGGCTACTCTTGCTTTCAGCTCCGAAGAATACCATACAAGCCTTTTCGGAACAATGGAAACCGCCACAAGCAAACTAAGGGTGAAGTGGAAAGGGGTGACAAGCTAGCCTGAAACCAAATCCCAGTACTCTTAGAACAAAAAGGTGTGCAGAAACCCAAGCACAGATCCTTAGGCGCGTATACAGAAGTCGAAGGGTTCAGCAGGGGAGCATGAAGGCAGCAGGGCGGTGCACGTACAAAATCTCCAAAGCTGCGACTAAGAGCCAGACGGCCATCAATACGCCAGACGCCCATTGCCGTGCGCATCACAGAGCCACCGGCCCGCTGTACGCGAGCCATCTCAACGGGGTCGTTAGGTTTCTGATCGACAGACATCGGCGTGAAAGTTCCATCGGGATGCAAAACCAAAAGCCGCGAATCCCCTAAACAAAAAAAATTCACCACAAGCATATACTCTGATAAGAAGACAGGAGAAGAGAATGGCTTTGACGGGTGTTCTGCAATCTGGTCGTCTCAGCAGCAAACGGCATATGCAGGTATAGACGTAATCAGGGAATGATGGACGGGTACACTCGAAGCAATGAAAGAAAATACGTGCAAAAGTAGAATTCAGCCCGTGAGAGAGGAGAAAAAATAGCGACAAAAGGAACGGCAGAAAACGAAAAGCAGCAGAGAGAAAGAAGAAAGCGAGGAAAATTGCAGCACCCATAGGTGTTACAGTGAGGCACGAACCCACACAATGCATGGTCTACCCGTGTATTTATATCTGTTTTGTGTTTTTCTGGTTTTTCGCCAGTAGGCATCTGAACATGTTCTTATAAAGAGAAACACGTGCTTCCTCACCGATGTTGGCCACATGCAAAGTGAACTCAGGGACTGATGGATCATCAGCAACCAAAACGCCTATTATCCCTGCAGCAGCAAAACCAACAAATACAACAAGACCTCAAGTTCCAGTGTTCGCATGTACACCCGGAAAGAGATGTGGAATCACCAGCACAGCAAAAGGCCCCTGATAAACCACTAGGAAACCACAGAAAAGTGGGAACTCAATGCATAGATGTACGCGAAAAAGGGAAGGAAGCAGAGACAGAAAGCGCAAGTGATGCAAGCACAAGGGGCAAGACAAAAGCAAACAACGAAAAAAATGCAAGCTGAAGCCACGAACTCTGACAGGAAACAGAAGAGAGTAAATTCCAAATAGCTGGGAGAATAAATAACTCCGCAGATAGAGAAGATATAGGGACATACACTTACGCGAGGAGAAAAGAGTGAGACACACATACATACGCAAGAAGAAGAGAGACAGACAGAGATATGTGCAAGGAGAAAACAGCGAGGCACACACAGATGCAAGAAGGTATGCTAGGACGGAAGAAGACAGAACAACCAACGCAGAGAAAGAGAGAAACCAACTGCGATTAAAAAAAAAAAAAAAAAAAAAAAAAAAAAAAANAAAAAAAAAAAAAAAAAAAAAAAAAAAAAGAAACCCACCTGTTGAGCCAGGACCAATTGGTATCTCCGGGTCGCTACGAAGGGCAGCGTCAAGAGCAAAGCTCGCCTCAGCGAATGAATTGCCAGAAAAATCAGGCATTCTGCCTGTATATAAGTGCAGAGAGAAAAAGTAAAGAAACAAAAGAATGATAGAATATCACCAGCATCCCCCCGTTGATAAAGTAAAGCCACAAAGAAATTTTATAAGAAGCTCTTACGTACACCCCATAAACAAAAAAGGTAAATAAACTGGCCAAACCAAACCAGAGCAGAACCAATGAGGATCCCGATCCCGACCCCGATCCCATCTCACCGAAGAAGGTCGGGGTGAGGACTGAACATCTTCGCGCAACCACATGGCCCCCATGGCCATCAAAAAGACCCGTTATGAATGAACTGGGTTTCCCTGGGAGCGGCGCCGAGAGCAGCAACGCCTGATATCACCAACACAAAAAGATGAATCACAACCTTACACTCGATCCCGAGACCGATCCCTCCCTCTGTACAGGTTCCATTCAATCCCCATCGATCCCAAGGGTATACAGGGGAAAGGGAGAAGAAAAAACCTCACATCCTCGTCGTCTGCTCTCCTGCCTATGACTGTTGCTGCCGCTGTCTCTGCAAACCCCAGGTGCAGTTTCATCGTCTTCCTCTTGAGGTGGTTGGCGGGGCCCTGCGCACCCGATCCCCCAGCAGCTCCTGAAGTAGGTGAAGGTGGCGTAGGAGGTTTAGGGGCCTTCAACGCTCGCTGAATTGTGTCAGCCATTCCCTGCTGCTGCTTCTCTATCTTTCGATTGCTGTCTAGAGTCTCCAGTAGACCCTGTAGCTGCGCTGTTGCAGCAGCAAGCGACTCCGAGTCCGTTCCCTTGAAAGTTGAGAACGTCCTCAAGCTCATACCCATACCCAGTTGCAGTTGTAGTTGCTGTTGCTGCTGTTGTTGCTGCTGCTGTTGTTGCTGTTGTTGCTGTTGTTCTTGCTGCTGCTCCTCCTCTCCATGAACTAGCTGATCGTCCTCTTTCTGGTATTCCTGCAGCTCAAGCTGCTGGTTCTGCTGCTGCTCTGGATCCTCCCGTTGGCTCTGCTGCTCGAAATCTGGCTGTTGTTCTTGACCCTCAAGCTGCTCGTGTTTCTGATCCGGCTGGCGGCCCAACATGCCGCTGTGCTCAGGCAATGCATTGCTATCGATGCTCTGGAGGTCCTCTTCTGCGGTCCTTCCTCCGAGCGTCTGTAGAGCTAAAACGAAAAGCAGCGCAAGAGCCCAAGGGCGGCGGGGCTGGAACGCGGGCCCCCCAAAGGGACTACCTGGCATCATGATGTCTGCAGAAGCCCTATTTCTGGGCAATATCTGCGGTCTGGCTACTGAAACAAAGCCCTGCGTTCCTCCCCCTCCAGCCTGCCATGCGACATGGCCCCTTGCACTGGGCTCCGGACTCAACCGGGAGGGGGGGGAAGAGAAGCAGCGGTTAGAAGGCTCTCAGGACCTTTAGTTAAAAGACGACGGCTGGTCTATCGAAATGCTTTGCGTCCATGCTCACAGCGCAGGCGGGAATTCGGGGGGCCCTATCGACAGAAGCAGCAACAACCACCGCTGCTGCGGCAGCTACAGTGCGGACTCCCGGCTGAGGGACCCGACAAAGCTTATTGTAGCTCCTGATAGCCAAAATTAATAACAGAAGTATAGCGCAAAAAACAATATAAGAAGCATCGAAGTCCTTGGCAAGTTGTGCCCCAGTGACTTATGGCTGCCGCGCCGATTCGGCCGTTCGGGTGATCGTTACCGGAGGTGGGGTTATGAGCGGTTAAATATGCCGGTCTGGAGCGTTCAGTGTACAATAATGCAGGGAGAATACAAAAAATATAGTTAAGAATTTTTTGTTTCTAAATAAACTGGGCCTAATGACAGGCTGCAACAAGTCGCACGCTTACAATCGCTCTGCGATTGGAGGGGCTTCCTCCCCGCCTACGTATCACCTTGAGTGAACAGGGACTAAACGTATGGGAACGCCACTTTCCCTCGAGTTTCCCTACAATGTGAAGATTAGTCTGGCACGTCTGTGGTCCCTCAGGAACAACAGACGCAGGCGGCAGCCGCCGTAGTATAGCCAAGCGTAGAGAGCTCCTGCGGCGTGCTCGGTGTAGCATTGTAGCGCCGGCTGTCAAGTTGGTATTAGTATCTCTACTTGCTCGTACGATGGTCATAGAGGGCCAAGTAGTTATCCAACAATTGTCTACAGTGCTTCTGCATGCAGCAAAGGGGGCATGATTGTTATAACTCTTGCCCCTGGCCTTAGTCAAGGACATAAACGAGCTGCAATGTAGGTAAGGAGTTAGACCAAGAGTTTCTCCAAAGCAGCTGACATCCTTCCCCTGTCCTCAGGCCTCCTGGGCGCTGGGCTCAGGGCAGGGGTGTTGCGGGCAAGCGGCAGCCTGAAGTGGGTTTGCATTGCTCCTCGCTGTGGAAGCTTCCACGAATATTCATTTGCAGCGTGCTTTACTTCTGAATTTACTTATAGAATGTTTGCATTTGCTTATACGCAACCTACCAAGGCCAAGTTAAGGCTCCTGTGCTAAGTGCAGGCCTACCAGGCTACACTTGTGCTTGGATGCCGGTCGACCTTGCAGCAGGTGTTGCAGCGACGTGCATTACCCCCCCGTGCTAGGCCTCACCCACGGCCGTAGTTCTTTTACGCCACCAGGGCCACTCTACCGGGGGGCTGGATGCGTGGTCAGCTGCTTTTTGGGAACTCCTATTCCAAGTGTTTCGACCTCCTTGCAGCTCAGGTCGGGTCCTCTGGTTATGCAAGCATAGAAGCATGCACATACTACTGGCATATCTTTCTTCAGTTTCGAAATTCATGTTGAGCTGGCTCTCCCATTGACTGAAACCCTAATTTCAGCCTTATACCTAGTAGTGCGCTGCAGGCGTACTACTACTATAGTGTCTGCAGCCATGAACTTGAACTGGTCTTGAGAAGAGGTTTACACAGCAGTTAATGCGTTAGACTGTCAACGGAGCAGCTTTTTAAGACCTCACATATACAGGATGTGGTACTTATATAACACCGTATCCGCCTACCTGCGGATGGATGTGCCCTCCTCTCCTACGTCAGTTCACATTGTCTATCGCTGTTATCTATTGGGATCTCTCTAATAGAGCGTTTATGGCTTGTCCTTATCTATCCTCCCTCATAGTTTGTTCCTACCTATTTTGCGCTTTGATCGTCCGCACCGCGCTTAGTGCCACAGTTTTACTCATATACCTTGCAATCATCCTACGCACTGCAGTTTTTCACCAACGCTGGTGTCAGCGAGTTCCTTGGTTTTTTTGTTTTAGAAAAAAACTGACTGAGGTGGGTTCACCTAGTGGATATGCGCATGCGCTGCGCATGCATTCTGTCATGCACTTTGCCCTCGTGCAGCACTTCGGTGATTGTATGGGTGGGGCTCAACGATCTGTCGGGAGCAAGGGTTCAGAAAAAATGCTGCAAACCTCGGGAATGGCCGACTGGTAAAGCAACTGAATGCATTGGGCCGACGATCAAGGGGACAGCACTTGCCTCGACACACTCAGGGAGCTTCCAGTATCCTGCAAGACGGATTTGCGAAGTGAACTGAGACATGCGAGGAAAATTACACCTCCGAAAGCCGTGATAAAATCCCATCTCGCTGTTCAATAAAACTGAATAAATACCAATAAAACGGAGGCAGCCATCGAATGCCCACCATTATCCCCACCGGTAGTCTTTGATACCTGTAGATCTCGCTAACGCACTTACTACATAGATGTCAACACGAACTCTAAGGAAAAACGCCGTTGTGTTATCGTATCTTGAAGGGAGGACAATCACTGGCATCGCTTGAAATTATAGAACACGGATGGTTTGCTGGTGTTTAGTGCGGTGCATTTTTTCAGTTCATCATCTGCATTGCCTCACGACCTGTTTTAATAGCAGGGAAGACAATTCATCATGGCAAAACCTCGCGGAATTAAATCTATTGAGTACTGGCCTCAGACGATTAAAAACAACGCTGCGTCACAAGTCGATCTCAGTAAATGCCCGAAAAAACTAGTAACGCACTATGTTGCACGGCATCTGATTGTGCCAACAAGCGTAGCGGCTAGTACCACATTCAGATTACCTCCTCCACTTTTACAGAGTGAAGTCAATCGGTAAAATCGTTCGAAAAGTCAGCTGACGCATGACAAGCAGACCTTTCAAGTATTCATTTTAACGTTGCGGTCCCGCAGATCCTCACTGTCTGTTGTAGTTGAAACTCACACAATTCATCATGCAAAAAGCGTTAAGCGAGTCAGGTTTCGTAGAGGTCGCATTGGGCGCTTTTGGGGAAGGCCACGACGCAGGGAAAACCCATCCAACAGTCGCTATACGCTACTGGTTTGAGTGCACCAAACCCATACAGCATTATAACCTCATCTGAAAGGTAAAAACATCAACAGAGGCGCAAATAGGAAGCCCCAGGGTGACGACGTAGCAATACAACTGACCAGAGAACTGTCCCGCTGAGACATGCCGCCAAATGTTGAGCAATGTCGAAAAATAGTAAATCGCCGTTACTTGGATTCTTGCCATCTTTAACGACAGGCGCGACATGTTTCATCACTTATTTACACAAACAGGGAAAGCAAGAACCAGTACCTTCCCTACCGGGACATACAATTCCTAGCCACACTTCAGCGCCGCACTTTCTAAAGCAGCAGTTGTCCAAATGCTCGCAAAAAACTGACAAACTGGAGCAGTTTACGAGATTCAAGAAGTAGCAATCCACGATGAAGTACCGCACATGTTTTTCGTGAAGTGAGCTCGGACTACGGGTGAGCAACTAGGAGGGTGAACTGTCCAACCTTTGGAGCAATAAGTGGAGCAAAAGTTACAACTGGTGCACATTTGGCGAGTTGTTGTTACATCGCGGGCAGAAGCAGGTTGTCGTTAGCGGCGATTCCCTTCCTTCGCCTGAGCTTGTTGTACTAAGCTCATCAAGCACAGTAGAAAACACTCGCAGACAAATGATATTCTGGGGACCACACATGAAATATTGCCAGTGCTTTCATTCAAGAGGCAGTAGCTGCTTCTAGGAAGCGTTCATATAGAAACGTCGCCGGCAGAATGGATTGCCGCTAGCAAAACACTGGAAATATCGTTCGTGGTGAGTGCCTTACTCGCTAAGCAGGAGCCGCAGTGTTGGGAAATGTATGATATTAAGGGGCAGCGTGTCACACTGATAAGCAACTGCTCTCAGCCCCGGCTCGGATAACCGAAGGGCTTTGGGTGTAGACACGCTCAGAAAGGTGTAGGCTACAGGCTGCATAAATGTCTATATCTGCAGCTTTGGTGTGGGAGCTATTTGCCATGCAGTAAAAACGGTGCATCTGGCCTAACCACTACGTGCAGGACCGCTCTAATACTTAAGCAATTAACCCGTTCAACAAGCAAGGTTCACCACAAGAAAAGAATGAGACAAAGCGGAGACGCAGAGCAAACATGCATCGAGTATCACCACCAGCACGCTCCAAAGGAAGGCGACTGAGTATGGGGCTCCCACCGCGAAGCGATCATTCGATGCACAGTTAAGCCCCTGCCTGCTCGTGGCTTGAACATGAAGAGCTACGGCACCTAAGACCTCAAAAAACGTTCTCGAGTTGCTGCATTGTCCCACCCAGGTCAACGCAGCTGCGAGGGGGCCGTCTAATACACAATGTAGGACAGGAAGAAATATCCCCAACCACGGAGCCCCCGCACATGGATGCAGCTGACAGGGAGGACGACCAGAAAGTTCTGTAATGAAATAGCTCACTCTCTGGTCCAAGTCGAAACAAAGTCTCTACCAGGAGCAAATGCAGCGAAATCTCGCCGACATGAAGGCATTCATGTCAAAACCAATAGGGCGACGGCACAAATCCACTAGATCAGTCACCACGATTACATATGCAGCATATTTTGAGGCCACAGCTGAGTCACATGATACCAAAACAGCATAAATGACCAGTGTATTGGATGTGCACTTCATCATGCGTTTATGCCTGCAAACACGTGCTGCGCGTCAGTCCATTCTCGGCATTCCCGAAGAAATATGCCAACTCATGAATCCAGTCAAAACACAATTAGCGGAACTACCGGTTTTAGAGGTAGCTTTCGATTTGCAAATCACTGACGGCAATGCATATTCATCAACGGAAGAGAGGCTGGTCTTGCGTTAAAAGCGCTTCTTGGATTGCAGTTGGATGTACTGTACGTGTGCATTGAAGCAAGCCTATCCTAGCCAAGGCTATCATCGATGTTGTTCACATTCGCA